TACCCACTTCCGAGGATTGGCGATCTTTTCGATCAGGTGTAGGGCGTGTCTTGGTTATCAAAGATTGATTTGAGGTCGGGTTACCACCATATGAGAGTTAAAGAGGAGAATGTGGAGAATACATCATTACGAACTCGATATGATCACTATGAGTTTGTGGAGATGCCGTTTGGGCTCACCAATGCATCTGCAATATTTATGGATTTGAGGAATCAGATATGCAGGCTGATGCTTCATCGGTCGGTCGTTATGTTTTATGATGTTATTCTGGTATACTCCAATACCAGGGAGCAGCATGTGGAGCACCCACGATAGTTACTTGGAGTGTTGAGGAAGGAGATGTTGTATGCCAAGTTCTCTAAGTGTGAGTTCTAGTTGTGAGAGGTCCAGTTCTTGGGGCACCTCATCAATTAGAACAAGATTTTGCTCGATCCGGCCAAGATTGAGGCAATTACGCAGTGGGAGGTCCCGAAGTCTCCATCTGAGATATGAGGTTTTCTTGGGTTGGTAGGTTAGTATCGGAGGTTTATTCGAGATTGTTGTTCCTCTTACTCGTTTGAAAAAGAAGACTGTGTGCTTCCACTGGGGGCCTGAGCAGCAGGCTGCATTCGAGAAACTGAGGCAAAGATTATGTGAGGCCTCAATATTGACCCTTCCAAAGGGTGTTGAGCATTTTGTGGTATATTGTGATGCTTCGATCACTGGTTTGGGGGTGGTGCTCATGCAACGGGGTAGAGTCATTGTGTATGCTTCTAGGCAGCTGAAGCCTAAGGATGGAATTTGGTTGGCCACAACTTAGCGATGTTAGTGCCACAACGTGGCAGTGGCCGAGGAAGACACACATCTCATTTGAGTGCTACGACGTGACAACATATTGGTCACGACGTGGCAACGTCCAACATACGAAACCCTAATTTTGGGGATTGTGCCCCTATTCAAGCGAAGTACGGGCTAGGGTTTGCACACCTTCATCCTCCATCACCTCCCTCTCACCCTCAATGAAACCCTAGCCTCCATTTTGACATTTGAGAGCTTTTTATGGTGTTTTTGGTGAGAAGAAGAAGAAAAAGGCATCCTTTAGGAGAAGATCCAACAAGCAAGCTCCTCCTCCACCTCCTAGCTCATCTTCTGGACCATTGTGAGTCTTCACGTTCCAACGTTTATGCTTCATGATTCTAGATCTAGAGTTCTTTGTCTTGTTTTTCATGTTTGGGTTACTTGGTGTGGTTAGAATCCATAAGCTTATCAACTTTATGGATCCTTGAGGTCCTCTTGTGATTATATGTCCAGATCTGAAGAATGATTGAGTTTTGAATCCTTGCATGTGGTTGTGACCTCATTTTCTTCATTTTTGACCTAGCTAGAGTTTAATACATCTAGTGGGCATGCACGTCTATAAAGCATCGACTTTTATGATCCTTTGTGTGTGAGAAATCCTTCTGGAAAGTTTGGTTATGTAGATTAAGGAATTGAGAGCTTAATGCATTAAGAAGGCTAGAAAAGTTCCTATGACGTGAAGTATTGGTCTTCACGACGTGACGAAAGGCAGTCCCCACGACTGTTTTGTCCTGAGGCTACCATGTCGTGGCAGAAGCTTGGCCACAATGTGGCGGCCGAATGTAAGACTTTTGGCTGTGGACGTGGACTTTGATCGTTGATTTTTTTGACAAAGTTTGACTTTAGATCAATTTGAGGGTTTTGGGTTGTAGCTTAAGGATGGGTCCCTGATTGTTGTATAGGTGTCTGTAGTACTAACTTTTGGGTTATGATAGTTGTGTTGTTATCTGCTAGACTGGGTGAGTTTTCTCACTATACTTTGTACTGCAATATATTTCCTTGTGTGTAGGATGTTGGTATGCTGTAGTGAACTATTAGATTGGTAGATTTGTATACTGAAGTATATGTCTTGTGAGTTTTCTCAACCCAACTAACCACAATATGTTGACACATAACAAAGATAAAGATGTAGAGATAGATGGTTCCTTCAGGAACAAGAGATAGAGGTTTCTTTGGGGAAAAGAGTATGATTCCTTCTGGAATAAGAGTATGGTTCCTATGGGGACAAGAGTATGATTCCTTCGGGAATAAGATTATGGTTCATACAGGGACAAGATTATGATTCCTTCAGTAATGAAATTATGTCCCTACGGAGAAAATATATGATGATTCCCTTTGGAAATGTGGATAGATGGTTCCTGCAGGAATCCAGATTGTGTATGGTTAGAGAAGATAAAGAAGGGTTCCTTGAGAGGAATAAGGTAAGAGAGTTCTTTGTAAGAACTTAGAGGTGATCCACAGGGGATTAAGAGTAAGGAATCTGCGAAGTATTCAATAGAAAAAGAAAGAGTAAGGATCCACGAGGGATCATAAGATAGAGGAGTAAGATCGGATGAGTATACTTGGTAATGATAATGGGATGTTGTTCCCTTAGAGTATGGTATGAGAGGTTACCGTCGGGTCTAGATAATAACATAATGTTGATGCATTATAGATGAGATTAGAGTTAAGAATAGAGTAGAGAAGAAATAGAGTAGTGAAGAGACAAAGTATAGAGAAGAGCATAGAAAGATTTTAAGAGATAAAGTATGTGAAAGAAAGAAATAGAAGATAAAGTATGAGAAGAACTTGAGAAGAGGCTAAGAGAAGAGTATGAGAAACATCATATATGATAGAGAAAGAGATAAATGATATGAGAAAGAGTAGGAAGAAAGATTAGAGAAGAATGATAGAAGGGATAAATGAGAAGAGAAAAGACAATAGTGTATGCTATGAAATAAAGAGTAGATGATGGAGTATGAGAAAGAGAAGGAAAAGAAAGAAAAGAAAAGATAGAAATAATAAATCACCAGGTACATTGTGTATGATATTGCATATATTTATGTTTTACAGGTTCAGGTAGTAGTAGTCGTGGTACTAAAAGAGATGACAGGAGCACAAGGACAAGATATAGATAGTAGGATGTTATTTATGTATTTCATTGTTGTTTAATTAATAGATATATTTTATTGTAAACTCGTGATTAAACCTGATATTTAAATTGTTTTTAATTTTAGTAGAATTCCGCAATTGTAAGAAAAACTCTGATAATTCCCTTAGATATTATGTATAGAAAATTTGTGTCATTACAATAGTAATGAATTAATATTGTCATGGATTTGTTAGTAAATTGTTCATCGAGATGAACATAGCAATATTGTGCGACCAATACTGAAGAGTACTTGAAAATTGAGATTTGAAGTATTAGAGTAACTACGCTTAAGGATTACTTCATGGATCATATCATAGTAAATTAAGACGACTATATTTCTTATTCTTCAAATAAAGATGCATGAGGTTTTGTTCTACAACCTGTTGTATCTTGGTTTTTCCCCAACGTTGTCCGCAACTGGAAGCTATGCATGGTTTGACTAGATATTGCATCAGGAATAGTACTGGCCTATATAGTCAAAGTTTATTTGATCCTTCTGCCAGAAATAGAGAAGTAGATATCTCTGGTCCCCTCGACGATTTGATGTTGACAACAAATGCTTGGTCAAGCTGAGACTGAGTTGACTGGATTCGACAGTTAGTCTGAATAGTCAACACAAGTCAGTATCGAGAAACATAATCTTGAACCATAAGGTTGAACCTTGATCCATGTCTCAGGTTTATAATAATATATCACGTAGATCAAAGGAAATTGAAGTCAATAGTCTTAGAACTGTGTATTGCAATGTTTTAATAGGTACAATAATTGCATTGGGCTGCCACTCACTGTTGTTCCTATTAAGTATTAGATTGGTCAATTGTTGATGCCTAAGAGTAGGTGGAAGCTGATGGAGAATAGTGCCTATAGCCATAACAAACCGATAATATTACTATAAATAATAATGTCCTTTTGGGTTACATGCAAGAGCAAAATAAAGCAGAACTGAAAAGATATTTATTTTAGAGACTTGTTTTGTTAATTAATTAATAGTTTAATTATTTAATTAGAAAACAAAAAGCATATGAAATACTCTAGAATGATTTGATTCTTGAATAATTACCAAAAGCCTAGATAACTACTAATATATTAGGTAATTATCTCTAGGGTTTCAAATCACCTCATTATATAAAAAGGGGCTAAAACCTGGTTTTGGATGCATGTGAAAATAGCCTTTCATCTTTAAAGTTTGAAAATCCTAAGAAAAACCCTAGAAGAGCCGGAGCTCGTTGCCACGTCGTGGTCGCTGTCAGATTCATTAACCGAGTCTTGTTCCAGCTGGTTCTCGAGTTGCCTTTAGATCAGTTGGTGTTTTGCATCTTTGATGCGATCACAAGAGAGGAACTCTACGTTGAGTTCTCAAGTTCGATCAACTTGCTAGACCAAAGAAGTCGAAGAAAAACACGAATGTATGATTCGTTCTATTGAGTCCTTTAAGTTACATAGATTGTTTGTACTAGATTCGGCTGTTACGAGTCTATAGATCAAGAAAATATTGTTGTTTCCGTTGTCCCGATTTGGCCTTTGACTTGGCTCATAACCCATCATTTCCGATCTCCAAATTTGAAATGTATGTCTAGAAATAAGTAAATAACCTTTATTACAAAAAGTACAATTAAAAAACATTCAACTAAACATAGTTTGTTGACAGTTATAAAGATTCAAAGTTCACCAAAAAAACATGATTTTTGTTGGTGACCGCCTACGAAAATCTTGTATTTTCACAGGCTGTCTTCAAAATCATGGTTATTTTTAAATTTTTTTAACTATTTTTCTAAAAAAATAGTTAATATGATTAACCTAATGAGTCATTTTCTCTTAAATCTACTAATAACAACCTAATAATTTGTTTAGAAATAAGACTTTTTCAAACTAAATCCTTGACGTTATATAGATTTTAGTTTTATTTAATTTTCTTTGGATTCATCAAGTATATAAGTATTTTTTAACATCTTTAAATATTATTATCTACACAATATTCTACATCCAAAAAGCAAAACACTTGATAACTTTTTTAGTGTAACGGAAATACATAATGATGTATTTTTACTTAATAAATTAGCAAAGAAACACCCACTTTATGCTTTTATCCTTCATCGCTCTTTTTGTTTCAGAGTTGGTTCTGTTGTCGCTAATTCTTCTCCGGCGCCGATTCTCCCCAAACCGCCGATTGCTATTTGTTCACAGATTTCCTTCGCTGCAACTCGTCTTCAGCTCTCTTCGTCTTCGCCCATTTCTTCTAACCTTTCTTTGACGTTCATCGTTGCCCAGGTAACTCTCTGGTAAAAACCCTAATTATTATAATCAAATTGTGGTAATGATGTTTTTGTTTATTCGGTTGATTTTTGTGAGTTCCCTGATCTTGCGACTCGCCACATTTTGATAATTTTGATAATTTATCCACCCTGAGATCAAAGCTATGTCTAGTCGTTCTACCACTTGTTCCCAATTCCCAAAGTCGTTTTTGAATTTCGATTTGTGGTTTTTGTTTCTTGGTTATATCTGTCAAAAAAATTTCAATCGTGATCACCTACTGCATCTTACCCCCTCAAATTGTATCTATATTGTTCTTTTGAGTGTAGATAGATGAAATACGGTGTTTGTAACTGATGATTTCTGTATATACTGTTCAAATAACGATTCTCTTTAACTGGGATTTTTTCAAAACGAATCAAAGAGTGTATGCAGATCAAAACTGGGATTTCTTTGTTTTCTAAAAAGGATTCACCATATAGTATTTTTCATCGCACTAACATTATCAAAACATTTTAATCAAATCTTTTCTCCTTTAGGTATGGAACGTTGCAGTGAATCAAAACGAAATAGGGTTAGTTGGAAAAACGTGAATGTAGCAAAAACGTTTCTTGATGCATGTATTAACGAAATTGCCATCAATGGACGTGAAGGTGGTAGTTTAAAACGAATGTCATGGAAGAAAATTGGGCAAACACTTGGAGATAACCATAACTTTTCAGTCGATCGAAAACAATTGAAAAACCATTTTGATTACCTCAAGAACAAATATGGAGCATGGTTAGATCTTAAAAACAAATGTGGCAACATTTATGATGCATCCACTAACACCTTTAATTTGACAGATGAAGAATGGGAAAATGAAATAAAGGTAGCTTTCATTAATCATTAATCATTAGTTTATTACTCTTACTTATATATATATATACATATTCATTGATTTCTATTTGTTATAGAAAAATAAATATGTAGAAACATTAAGGAACACATCTCTACTATTTCCGGATCTTTGTGCACAACTTTTTGATGGAGTTATGACAAATGGGATTAAAAGTTTGGAACCGATTTCTGCTGAACCTATAACAGCAATTGTGGTTAAAGATGATGAAGAGATTGAAATCCCAAAAGATACAATGGATTCATTATCTTCTTCATCATCTGATCCTCCTCCTCCTCCTGTTAAGAAGAAACAAAAAATGAGTAAAAAATCGATTGATGAAGAAATATTGGGTGTGTTGAAGATAATAGCAGATAAGATGAGCAAATCTGAAACACCTCCAAAACCTACATTTGAAGAATGTGAAAAGAAGTTGAAAAAGCTTGGGTGGAGTGAAGATGATCCTTTACATGTTGTTGCATGTGCTATTTTTTGTGAAGAAAATGATAATTATAAGGAATGTTGGATGAAATTAAACCCCAAGATGTGTGCTAATTGGGTTAAAATGATTGGACGTAGTAAAGGGTTTATATAGTATAGTTTGATGAGTTGTGGTGTTTTTCTTTTAGGAAATTGCTAATTGTTTGGAAAGTATTGATATGTAGATGAGATGAGATGAGAACTATTTTATGTTTTGGATTAAATTGCAAGAATGGTCCCTATGTTATAGTGAAAGTTGTAGGTTTAGGCCAACCTTCTTTTTGTTGCATTTTTGGTGTTAAGTTTTGGATTTCGCTTTTGTTTATGGGGAAATCCATTGAATGAAGTTGTGAACATTTGAAATCATGAAAGTTGTCAAGTCAAATACCATATAGACAATGCGTATATTGGATCGAGTTAACATGTAAATCAACATATGTTATATACTAGGTGTAAAACATGTGTATTACACAAGTTGATTAAAAAAAATATATAAGTATAAGTATAAGTATTATGTGATTTTTTAATTTAAAAAATTGAAAAAAAAAAACAATAATTGACATGTGGATATTATTTATTTAAAATTATCACAAAATGACAAGTGTCAAAACTCATTAGAGATTAACATGTGGCAAAATTATCTTCATTTATTATAGTAGATAGTAGATACGTATATTGGATCGAGTTGACATGTAAATCAACATCTATTATATATATATATATATATATATATATATATATATATATATATATAAGTGTTCAAATATCATGGGAAGAGTCGAGGGAGTAACTACAAATTGAGAATCATAATATTGACAACTATAGTCATGTTCTTATATATACGAGTGTTCAAATATCATGGGAAGAGTTGACGGAGTAGTTAAACTACTAATTGAGAATCATCATATTGGTAACTATAGAGTCATGCTCTTATGACTTACTCTTCTTTTGGTTAGTTGAGGAAGAAGATAATGAATCATCTTCTTATGACTTCCTCTTCTATGGCCGACATGGTTTTCAATAGTTGAATTAATGGCATCCACAATGCATTAAACTTATTAAAGTTTAATGGATTGACACATCATCATTTTATTTTCTATACAACTCTAAATTAATTTTTTCTATAATGCATTGAATTCTATAAAGTTCAATGGAATATATTTTAATAGTTAAAGGTTTTTTTTTTCCATTGAAGACTTGAAGAGTTGAATGACCATTAAATTTCATATCCATTGAATGCCAACATGACATCTTACAATAGGAAAGTTTAATCCATTGAATGTCAATTAGGCATGCTATCTCATTCAATTTTTTCATTAAACTATGTATTGTGAATACTCTAAGCTGATTTTCTTTGAATGGATCGACTAATAACTAAGCATATTGGAATCGGACAATTGGTAATTTGGCAAGTAGCAAAGCAAAGCAATTTGGCATGTCCACTGGCCACTTCCACACTCTCTCCGCTCCCCATTTGGGCTTTAGCAATTTCAAAGCAAACCAAGTAAAATGTTCATTGTGTATTTGCATATTCTATAAACCAAAATAAACTTATCTTTCAAGTATCACGCTTTTAAGTTTTAAAACCACAAAAAATATTAAATCAAAATAAGGAATATCAAAAAAATATTAAACCAAAATGAACAATAAAAGTATATTTGTTTCAAAATCCAAAAAACAAATTAAATATCAATTGACTATTTTCTTTATGTTTTCCGATCTTGTTCGTGTATTGCTTCGTCTACATCTATATAAAAACGAAAAATGTAGTTAGTATTTTATAATAGTAATTTGTGGTTTATATCAAATAAAACAAGAAATATTATGAAAACTCAAACTAAGTACCAAATGTTATGTCATCATCTTTAAAGATATCGTCAACATCACTTATAATTGGTTTCCTTGATTTTCTAACTCAATATTGGGTGCAAAACAATGCTTCCACTATCGATGTTGTCAAATGAGTTCGATACCCATCTTATATGCGACCGCAATCCCTAAATGCTGACTCAGATGTCGCGGTTGACACTTGTATGATCAAAATATCTAACAACAAAATGATTAAAATTATAAGACGATTATTTTATAAATAAACTTGAAAATCCCTTAAAAAGTATTAGAAATTACCTTTGGCCATCCGAGTGATAACAATAGGGAAACACAACACGTTTTGTTTTTGCCACTTGAAGATGGCAAACTCTTTATTGTAAGGTCCTTTGGGCTCATTCAAATACATTTTTATTCTTGGTATACATTGAAACCGATTTGGTTCCTTCGACATTTTGGAAATCACCCAAAAAGTCATTATCATCATCACAAGCCATTACCTCATGTTTTTCTTATTAAGACAGTCAATGATTGTCAATTTTTTTTTTCTGTTATAAATAAACAATCCATCTTCTTTTCAACCTCTCAAACCATTGACGTCACATTCAATTGTAAGGCCGAATTTGACATTTGATTTTCTTCTTAAAGTGCTTTGGTTTTTCATGTTTTTCGGATTCTTTTGCACCTAGCGATGTGTCTAAGTAAGATAGAGGCGTCGTTACATACATATTGATTTTAAGAATGGTTGAGCAAAACTTGCATTTAACATTTTTCTTTTTCACTCCATAATTTTTTATCCAAACTACCTCGAAAGTTTTCCAATAATCTGATTTCTCTTTGCGTACGTTTGGTTTCCATTTTCTTTTGTTGTATTATGGCACATTCTCTTCTTTCTGTTTATTATAATCGTCATCAACATTAATATGGGGTTAGGGTCAACAAATAAATCATCCTCCTAAGAAGAAAAAAGTTACAATGTTAGAATTCTTTGTTGATTATGGAGTTAAAGCATTAAAACATTAAAAAGTTACAACATTATAATTCTTTATTGATTACAACATCAATGAAGTTAAACATTACGACATCAAGAAATTGTAACATTAGAATTTTTTGTTGATTATTCAGTTAAAACATTACATCATCAAAAATTTACAACATTATAATTCTTTATTGATTACAACATCAATCACATTCAACATTACAACATCAAAAAGTTTGACTTACTTGATTATCTTCCATGGAGGATGGAACCTAATTTTCCATAAATGGCATTCAATCGGGTGAGTAAACTTGAAGGTAATCCAAATTTTTTTTTACAATTCTTTATTTGTAACATCTTGAATTCCAAATATTTTCATTTATGCCCTTGATATGAGAATTATTGCATTTTGACCCCTAATGATATTTTAGTAATTTTGGAGTTAGCTTGAGTATGCTAGGCGTATGTGACAAAATCTTAAACCCTAATATTTAGTGTTTGGAACCTATTTAAGCATCCTTAAGTCCTAAGTCTTCTTTTATTCATCAGCCTCCAACCCCAACTTTGACTTTTGCAAACCCTATTTAAGCATCCTTAAGTCCTAGCTTGTATGATGTTATTATGTGTTTTTGTCTCCAATCAATGTTGTTCTTGAGTATGACATGTTATAGACCCAAATGGATTGTCCTTCCAGATGTTTTGGAGTATCTAAGGTCATAAAAATGCAATCTTGATTATTAATTTTCTTCCATGCATGGGGTATAATGTCTTAATGAGTTAAAAAGTTACGGTTTTTGCTATTGGGCACTTAAAAGCTATGAAAGATCATAAAGTTGGAAATTTATGGTTAAAGATGTTATTTGAGGGCTAGATATGGAAGTTGAACAAAAGAGCTTGAGGATTAAGCTCTTAATAAGAAAGGAAAGCAACCTATCGTGTACGTTGGGCGTAACCCAAGTACGCCGCGCGTATAAGACCAGCCAGCCCGTTTTTGGTCAAGCTTGAGTACGCCCCTTGTACAGGCTGAGTACGCCTAGTGTACTCAGCTGTGTTGACTAGGTTTGAATTTTTGACTTTGACTAGAATTTGCCCAAGTTTGACCTAAGGTTATTTTGGGTATTTTGAGTTTTATTTGAGATTGATCACTATTTGATGATTAGGTGACAGGTAGAGTTGTTATTCAGAGCAGAGACCTATTCAGCTATTTGTTCGGACTAAGAGTGAGTCTTCCTCACTGTACATGTGGTTCGAAGGCACCGGTGTCAGCCCAATAAATCATGTATCATGGTTAGAGGATGTTACTATGTTTTATTGATCTGTTAGAATTGAGTCCTGGTATATTGGATGTTGTTGTGCGATATTACTCTGTAGATCTACCTATTTTCCTGTTAACTGGCTATATGTTTATCTGTTGTATATGTCGACATAGTATGGTTTAGGGTTGAGGCTATACTGCTATGTGCGTGAGACAACAGACCGGGGGTATTCCAGTCTGATGACTGATTGGACCCGTAATATATTGGCATTCCAGTCTGATGACTTATTGGGCCGAGGGTATTCCAGTCCGATGACTGATTGGACCCATAATATATTGACACTCTAGTTTGATGACTGATTGAGCTGAGGCATTCCATTCTGATGACTGATTGGGTTGGGGGTAATCCAACCCGATGGCTATGGACCCGAGGGTATTCCAGCCCAATGATTGATTGGACCCATCATGCATGATTATATATGTTATATGTTTGTGTGGTGGTACTTTGGGGGGAACTCATTAAGCGTTGTGCTTACAATTTCAGTTTTATGTTTCAGCTACTTCAGATAATCGGGACAAGGCGAAGGCGAGATCGTGCACATCCATCGGATTTTATGTTATTTCGATTTTTGGACACTCTGATTACTAATTATCACTTTTGAAATAATGGTTTTGTAAATAATTATTTTCTTGAGGTTGTTTTGGAAAAATAAAATTTTACCCTGATTTTTGAAACGTTACAAGTTGGTATCAGAGCCCTGGTTTAAGAGAATTGGATGAGCATTCATATGAATCCAGAATCAAACTAAGGATATGTGACAGTTTCGAATTATTTTCAAATTAAATTCAAATTGTATTCATAAGTAACCCAAGAAGGATGAGATGTGTACGATCAGCCAGAGCAAGAAAGTATACCACAAGTTACCACACTGTTACTTGTTTATGATGATTATGATAGAACTGCATGCTAGTGATAAGCTAGGGATACTCATAAATTGAATGATAAAATTGTCTGATATATGATGTCTGATAGCCTAGGAGGACTTCTTATATGCTAGATGAAATTGACATCATTATTATAGTTGCTTAGTGTGTGCATGATAGTTGTATATAACAAAGATTCTATAGCCTGAGAATGTTTTATTTGGCTTTATTTCATGTTCTTGTCTGATTAAGGGCTTAGGGTAGAGTCAAGTATTCGACTATCTAT